CCCGCCACGGCGAGCGCTCCCCCCGTTTAGGCTAATGAGAGCAGAACAAAGAGAATATTGCACATTCGGTGCGGAGTGCGCGGGGGGCCGGGGCCTGGTGGCCTGGTGGGGTCCGGACGGGTCCGGTCCACCGCCGGGGCGGGGAGGGGCGGTCAGGGCCCCCCCGTGGGGTCCGTGGCGACTGCTGGGCTGGCCCCGTGTTATCACAGGACGATCGTCCAATAACGGCGATCCCTCATTCGATCGGGACGGCCGGGCGCGGCGGGGGTAAGGGGTCAGACCAATATCCCCCCCTCCCCCCATCCAGTGGAAGAGAGGTGGGGGTGCGGAACGGTTGCGGTTTGACGGCGCCGTGTTCAGTGAGCCGCTGCCGGCCCGGACGGGGCTGGGGTGGGGTGGGTGGGTGTGGAGTGGAGGGTGCGCCCGGCGAGTACCGCGGACCAGGAAATGCAGAGTGCGCGGGTGGCCGTTGAACCTCCGCCCCGCTCCGCTACAGCGGCGGCTGTTGCTGCTGCTTAATTCGCTTTCCGCTCCCTCTCTCTGCTTAGTCTGTTTCTCACGCCCCAGTGTCAATATTACAGCAGCAGCGGGTACCCGTTTCCTCTTTGCTGCTTCTCTTGCGGCGACGCGCGTCTATCTCTCATCGCCCCCTTCCCCGCTCTCTCTCTCTCTCTCTCTCTCTCTCTCTCTCTCTCTCTCTCTCTCTCTCTCTCTCTCTGTTCTACGTGTTGTGGGTCGTTGCCGCCCAAAGTTGTTGCCGTTCTTCGCGATGAGAGAGAGAGAGGAGAAGAAGAAGATATGCTGATGTGGGCCACCAGGCCGTGCGAGGATAACTCTCATGACAAGCCGAGTAAAATGCGATTCGTGCGGAAGGGAAGAAACTACTCTGAGAAAAGGGGGAGTGGAAGTAGCGGGCGGTGGGCGAGCGGGGAGCGTTTAAACTTTCCTTATCCTACCCTCAATTTTCGCCTTTTCAACTTAAATTGAATTGTTGGATCCTCCTGACCGCCCGCGGGACCTCCCCGCCGCGGTCCGCCCCTCGGACAGCGGCGCGCAGATTTATCTGGCGGCCAGCCACATGTGCATCAGAGGAGAATGAGTAAAAAAGTTAAGTTTCCGGGGGTTTTACGGCCCCTTACATTGTTGCCCGCCATAAATTGGCGCCGGCCAAACTTGGCGCCGCGCGCGCCGTCTCAATTTGAAACTATATCTCTTTGTGGCTACGCCCTGCTCCGCTCGGATATACGTACCGCAGGTGTTTTTGTTTCCGTTTGTAAACGATCTCGAATTTGCTGTCTGTATTAAGACATGATCGTGTGAGACGATGGAGGATTTGTCAGGGGTTGGGACGCTTTTTCCTGTGTGTCTTCTCAGAAGTGTCTTCCTGCCGTGACGGCGGTAGAGAGCAGTGTGCAGCGAAATAGTAAATTCTGTACCATCACTATGAAAAAATTGCAACGTAGGTACCCAGAACTCACCCCCTCTTCTTCCCCTCTCGCCGCACCCCGAGCCGCGCTGCATGGCTGTGTTGCCCCACTTCGGTTGGTTGGTTGCTCGGGAGACTTCCGGAAGTGGTCTGCACTTGGCGAATCGCGAATGTACTGCGAATGGCCCCTGGTACATCCCTCTCTTCTATTCCCTCCTTGCTCTCTCCCTCCCGCTCTGTCTCCTCTCCGCCTGCCTCTCTGTGCATCTCTCTCTTCTTTGTGGTATGTTTCCAACTCGGCGCAGCCCGGCGCGCCTGGTCTACGGAAAGAGCCTCGGGGCTGGCGCGCTGTTTGGCGGCGGCGGGCGGTGCTCCTCGAGGACGTAAAGGGGGTATGTGGCCCGCCCCGCCTCGCCCCGCCCGGCCCCGCAACTCCGCGGTCATGTCGTGCTTCATGTCGCCGGAACTTGTCCCCGCGGCGACGGCGTCCTCGCATAGTCGCGACCCTTTGGGCGGGAGCTGCTGCTACTCTCTGGGGGAAAGAAGAGAGACCCACCCGCCCTGCTTGTGCCGCCGCTGCGGGGCGGAACGGAACAAACGGAACAGAACAGCGAGCTGCTGCTGCAGCAGTAGCGGCGGAGGTGGTGGTCGTGGAACAAATGGAACAATTATCGGAGGCGAGAGTGAACACCACGCCCGCCCATGGCCGCCGCCCTACATAGCGTGGCCCCATCTGGGCGGGCGCGCCGGGCGGTGCTAAGCCGGGACGGCCAGCGGGGTGAGGAGCAGCAGCGGGACGGCCAGCTCGGAGGGGATGTGTTCATTACGCGACAAATCCCCTTAGCCGCCGCCGCTGCGTTTTGTTTGGCGCGCGAGCAGGGTCGGACGCACGGCACGACGCCGCCCAAGTGCCCGACGGGGGTGGGCTCTGCTGGCTCTGCTGCTGTTCCCCCCAGAGTCGGGGGTCGGGGCCCCGGGGCGGCGCGGGGCAGGACTGGCGGCCGCGCGCTACAGTACTTGATGTGGCGACGTTTCGATTGCCCTGGTGGAACTTGTGCGCGGCCGGGGCCGGGGCCGGGCTCGGCTCTCTGACTACTCTGCTCTACGGTCGGTCGGTCGGCTGCGGCGGCTGCGGCGGCTGCGGCTGCGGGGGGCGGGGCGGGAGCCAAGTCAAACACAGCTTGCGTTGAGTGTGGCTCGGCGCCGCAGGGAGGGACAGCTGGACAAGGCAGCAAGCGCAGGCACGGCCATTTGTACTGCTAAGGGTCCGCCCCGTCCGCATCAAAGGCGCTCGCAGCACTCCGGGGCGGGGCGGGGCGGGGCAGGGCGGGGCGGGCGGGGGAATAAGTGCTGCAGCCGGGGGGACCGGCGGGGACCACAGGGATCAAAGGGGATGCGGAATGTATTGCCGTCGCGGATACCCGTGCCGATCCCGCTGCCTGCCGCTCGCCCCGCCTCGCTTGTAGACACGCTTTCCCCCATAGCAGGCGGTCCCCGGAGGCGGCGGGCGGCGCGGAGCGAGCGTGTGCTGACGGCGGGCCCGCCCGGAGTCGTGTTTGGGTCGAGATGGCGTCGAGCCTGACAGCCGCGCGGGTCCCAACGGAGCGCCCCTCTCAGCTGCGCGGAGAGGTACGGCAGCAGCCGCGCCGACCAGACCCGCCCCGCGCCGCGCTCGACCCGCTCCAGAGCGCCGCGGCCGGGAGCTACCTCGAGCCGCTGTGAGAGGAATAAATGTCGTCTTCTCGTTTCCCTTCTCGCGTGCTATTCGGCTGTGCCGTGCTGCCCGTGCAGAAACACACACACCCGCACAAGCGGCCGGCCTTGGATCGCTCGCCGTTTCCCCGCCAATGTAAACGGTGGCCGAGGCCCCCCCATACCAACCACCCCCGCTCTCCTTCCCCCATCGGCAGGAATACGATCCCCCCCTGTTTGGGGCTGGTCGGGAAATCGTGCGGGTTGTATTCGCCTCCTCGGACCTTTCTCTTTATGGGGGGATTTGAGTTATGGGCGCGGCCGCTATATCTTTGCTGCAGAACAAAGTATAAACTGGCGTATAAGGAGGGGCGGGCGGGCCTGGCGGTCCGCTGCCCTGCGCTCACACACGTGGCTCCCGCACGTGGAGCGGGGCAGGGATAGGAGGGTCTGCTAATTCACCTTGGGCCGCCACCATGGCGCTCTTGCAGGGAGGCGGCGGTGGCGGTCGGGATTGGATTGCAGGCCAAACGGTTGGGGTGTGGTTGGTGGCGCGGACCCGCCCGCCCGGCCCGGGTCGGACCCGACGGGAGCGGCGGAGCGCCAGCGCGCCAAGCCCAGCAAGGGCCGATCCGGGGCGATAAAATGAAGCTCTACACTAAGGCAATGCAATCTGTAAGGCGGGGTGGGGGTTGGGGGGGGGGGCAGCCACCCCCACGCCTCCACAATGCCACTACGGCGCTGGGGGTGTGGCGGGGGCGGGGCGGGCAGCAAACGGGCTGTAGGTACAGCACCGACCGCCATCACCCGCCACCGCCCCGGACCGCGCTGCTGAGCTGCGCTGTGTTTTTTGCCCGTGCCGATATTCGCCTGGAGTGGGTCTGCGCTGTGGGCCGTGGCGGACGGGCGGGCGAGCGCTGTGTTTTGCATGCAGGACGTCCCTACTACCCCTTCCACGGCCCTCCCGGAGCCCGCTCGTGTGTACCTCGCTGTTGGCTCCTTTCCCCTTCCTTCTCCTCCTATTCGTTTGAACGCCGGGGAGCCCTGATTGTCTGCAACGCTTGCTGGCTCTGGGCGGGGTGCGGCGGGGCGGGGCGGGCATCGGCGTCGCGTCGCGTCACGCTCCTTTTGACTCGAGTTTTCGCACGGCAGCGCGCCGCGCTGCTGCCGCTGCTGCTTTTGTGGGCAAGGACGAGGCGTGACTCCGTCAGTGGTGTCGGATCACGCGTCAACCCCGTCCCCACCCCG